TTGCACTTCGACGTTCCTCAGAGTATGCGTGTTGCTTTAAGGCATTGAAGACTTGATTTGACAACTTTAAGTCCATCCCAATTCCATCCCCAACTTGGAATTCCGGTGCAAACTACAAGTAGAAATAATAGAAATTTAAGCCTTGTTAGTAGCAGACACTAGAAATTTCTTATTCCAATCCTCAAAAGTTTAGGCTAGATTAGGACCTGTGTGAAACCCACTTTGTGCCATGCTGTCACTATGTTAAAAAAAAAAAAAAAAAAAGCATTGCTCTAAACTCAGAACTCAAAGTTCAACCCAAATTGCTATAAGATTACCTAACATCCTATAGAAATAGCACTTGCAGCATTTCCTTATTTGCAAAAGTTGCACCGTTACATTAAAGAAAACGGAAGGTATGTACTATGGATAAACAGACTGAAAAGCTGTAAGCCAAACAATTACTGAAAATAAGTTATTTGGCTTAACAGGCAAAATGCATTTAAAACAAAAAGATTACACCATAGCTATGCTTTTCAAAAATAGCCTTGATGTTTTATCTGCCTGTGTAACAAACTTGCTGATAGTTTTGTTTTCCCAAAACAGTTCTGTGAAAATTCTTGAATCATGGTCATTAACAAACTATTATTAAGCAAAGACCACACATAACTCAAACTGCCAATTTGAATAACTAATCCAAACACTGCATTGCTTTCAACTGGGGAAAAAAAAAGCAAAACAAAAAACCTACCACCATATATAGTAGTACAGGTGGACAAGCATTAGTTCTTTGGCTAAATTCCAACATTCCAGTTTTACACACAAAATAAGTTCCACTAAGTTTTCACTTACATTTTCCATGCGAGCAGTGTTCTTTCGTCCACATACCACTTCATCATGTTTAGTAGTAATGTCTTTTCCTTTTCCTATGAAACCCTTTCTAGGTGTAGTCGTGGGTTTATCTGCCAGCAGTGAGGAAAAATAAATTGAACTTTACATTTAAACAAATGTAACTAATGCTCATAAAGGTTCTACAGTGCCCACAAAAGTAACATCATTTTATTTATTAAACAGAATAAAATACTTCAATTGTATGACCTTAATGCATTCGTCTGTTATAAACATGACAGCTTCTTTTGCTGCATTATGACTTATTTCTAGGTCTTCTCTGAGGTGTCAGACAGACTTTTGGCATGACAGGAATATTCAGGATCATGTGCAGATACCCCTAGCCAAATGTAGATGGCAGATATATCTATCCCACAGTACTTAATACAATAATTATTTTGCCACATTCAGCCACCACAGCCAATATACTGGCAGACAGAAGCCTGAAGTTACCTTTTCAACCTCCTGTGTAACAGCTCCCAATTAGGTGAACTGGTTTTACATAAAACTGGTACGTCTCCTTACATTCAAAAAAAGTAATTTAACTATGTCATATTCTTAGTCTATTAATTGAAGAAATCATATTGTTTAAAAAACTGCCACATACCTGCTCTATAAGGATCGTGACGAGTATCCTGCCAATCAACCTCATCCTCCGAGCTGTCACTGTCATAGGGATGCACCTTCCGATAATTTTCAAAGGATATGGAGACTTGAGGAAAAAAAACAAAGAAGCATATCCATGATTATCAAGGATTTGCTACTTCCTCACAGCTCTTAAGCAGAGTGCCAAAAATATCTCAAAAGCAAAAATATTTCTTCTGATGAGGATACCTTTGCTGTCTCCATTGATCTTCTTCTCTTCACGTCGAAGCTGTGCATCATATTCCCTGTCAAATTCCATCTGCAACATCTGAGCTAGCATTAGGTCACTAGAAGTGTCAATATTTTCTCCTGTAATAAATGGTCCTTCAGCAACACTATGTAAAATGAAAGCAAAAATTTTAAGAGTTAAACACAATAATCTAAACACCACTTTATACCATTTCATCAGTCTATACAAAAGACCTCATGCAGAGCTGCATGGAAACTAATGGATCTCAACTGTCCACCCCACCTCCAAGCCAATACTAAATATTAATAGAGCTTAACTTCATTTCTCTTTGACACTCCTTTACAATGCAAATATTACCTAAACTTTTACTTGTTCATTAGAGGCATTAGGTTCTATTTTTAAGATACCCTTTGTGAAAGAGAAAGAAGGCATACAGATGCATGTGTATGTATATGGGTTTTTATCTATGTTTTTATAAAAAAATAAAAACAAATTTTAAAAAGCAAACAGTGTTGTTTTTCTCTGCTTCACAGAAAAGATCGCAGGCAAAATTTGTATGAGTTTAGAATGATTAAGCTCTCAGCCTATGTTCAGAGCTTCCAAGTATTAGGAGGATACAGGTGATACACCTGATAGTTCTCGAAACAGCATCGTTAACAAGAGTTAACATAAGCCTCTAAAAGGGAAGAAGGAAAAATGTTTCTGACAACATTTCTCAAAAATGTAGTTTACAGACTGTCTTAAAGCACCCAAAACAACGCAAAGAAAATAACAAGAAAAAAAGAAGGGTGATGGAGAAGAGAATCTAAGAGGTTTAACTGGGGAAACAATCTTCACTGAAAAAGACCTAAAGAAGCAGAGTTAGAAGATAACAGGCAAAGCATTTACTATATCGCTACACCTTAAGCACACTGTAAGGAAACACACAAGAGACAGAAGATGGCTTCACAACTATAGAGATCACTAATCCAGGATTTAAACTTACGCAACCACTTCAGGAAAAGCAGCATTTTCTTCTTCCAGCTGCAGCTCTTTTGCCAGCTGTTCACTCATTACATCAGCAAGGGAACATGATATTGATGTTGTGTTAGGGGCTCCCCATGGACACTGTAAATAAACATTTTATTCAAGTTAGCAAGAAATGCAGTGGCAACACAATAATCAGGATAACTATCTGTCAGTGGCTCTAAAGTAAGCTAACATAATCTTGTAAGAACTTGTCTTCTACAGATACTTAGGGAAGCACAATGAACTAAAGTACAGAAAATACCTCAAGGAGTAGTTTTATAAACTCAACAGAGAGAACTGTGGTTGAAAAGATTTGACGGTCACTTACTAATGGGGGGTGGGAAGAAGGGTCAGTTTGGCAGTACCCTCTGAAGACAGGGGCAAAGTCTTACCAGAAAGTTTGCTTACAAGTGTACACACAAATTATGTAAAACTTTTCCTGGACAAACACGGTATTAATGGCTTATGCACAGCTTCCTCCCCAGTTTCTAGATTGCTGAAAAGCCAGCCATCATAAATATCCCTTCAAAAACACAGAAACATGGTTGCAACTTTGCTTGGGGGGACAGGAGTTGGGGAATGATGAATCCAACCAAGTTGTGACTCACTGCCTTCATCACCAGACTCACTTAGATCCAACTCCCTGCTCGCCAACAGAGCCTGGAGAGAAACAACTCGTTTATCAGGGTCTGACAGTAGCTCTCTCCACCAAGATAGTTGCTGGTAGCAGCGAACCGCGTCGTACGTTGTTTTCATTACTCACTCGGGCAGTGGGGCCAAGCGCCCAGTTTACCAAATAATCGCCCCTTGTTTTGTTGACACCGCTTCACAGCGTCCACTCGACCGCCTCAGCCAGCCCAGAGGGAGCCGGGCGGGAGAAGGGCCGCTACCTACCCCCCTCCCGTCAGCTAGGGTCGGCTGGCGACGGTGCCCCTGCCCCAACACGCCTCCGTCCTCCTCCACCTCCCAGGAGCCAGCAGGAGCTGTCAATGGCAAAAGGAGAAGCTGAAAGCTTTCAGAGAGGAAATAGTGTTGAGCGCTTTGCACGGTGCAGTTTTTAGGTGTGGGGGATATCACTAAGAACCTGGCACCAATATACAGAGACAAGGCATGATGATTCACAGCGAGTCATTGTTACACACACTTGTCTGAACTGCCACATGGGTTTTAAATCAGAACAATACACCCGCACATGTCCGTACTCTTATTTGCATTTACAAATCACCTGCAACAGCTGAAACGTCTATATTCTGGTTGGTTTTAACTTTATTACACTAAAACCTGCATTCAGGTTTGAAAATGGAGGCCCTATGTCAACTTCTTTTCAAGTATAGTTAAGCCAAGTACATTTTCCATTGCATAATGCAGTCCAGCAGCTCTTCTAGCCCCTTTCTGTTTAACTAATCACTGCTCCTGGCAGTCTGTCAAATCAAGTGTACTATCTCTCCCTACAACCTTTGCTTCACGTCTGGACTTCAGTCTGCTTCTGGGCATCCTTAACGGCAAGCACACTTTTGAAGAGAAACCAGTAGCCGATGTTGAGAAGAGATTTCATTTTCACCTCAAAATGCTGCTTTTCTCTAACTGTCCCTCTGGAAATACACACCCCAGTTGCTTCAAAAACATCTTTTCTTTCAGAAATCTGCACCAGAAACACAGACACACTCTCTGATAAATAGGACAGCAAGGAGTGGTTATTCTATTTCCTCCTCTCAGAGTGAGCAAACTACTTCAAACTATGTTTAAATTACACAATTTTATTCACAACGTGACCATCTTCAGCCTACTTACCCTGCTGAGGCCTTTCAGCAATACCAACTGGCAATTAACTTGCACAGTGGAAAAGAGACTTAAGGAGAGACCTCCTTAATTTGCAGGTTAATTAAGCTGTCAAAGGGTCTATAAAAGTTAACATTTGTTTCAGTAATA